ATTTGTGAAGTTTGAATGTAATTGGTCCAGGCATGTTTATTGATACAGGAAACAGATGCACAAACGTCAATCCATAAGTCCCTATAAGGTGGTTTCAAAATTCAAAAGAAGTATCTGTTAACATGAATGATATTTGTCTTCTGCCAACTGTTGGGTTATTATTATTTCATTGCTACAATACTGAATACTAAATGGATAATCTTGACTAAATAGAAAGTTCTTTTTGATTGTAACTCACTGCAATCCCTGATATACTTGTTTGATATGTTGGATTTAGCACATATTTGAAGTCACCTTTACAAACAATGGTCAAGATCTAAATCCCCTTCATTTTTTTCTAAAGATTCAAAATTGAAAGCAATTTTATGAAATGCATGCATCAGTAAAATTTGCTAAAAAAATCTTAAATGCAACTGGAATTTTAGAAAAAAACAACCCGAAACTAACCTTCGCTCAGTTTACTGAAGAATTTGTTGGCATCATTAGCAGATGACGATTCAGACTTACTATGGTCCACAGCAGTGGTACTTGAAACTGTTGACTCTGAATGGTGGTGATCACCTTTGGAATAACCAGCATTTTTACCTTTTCTTAAAAGTGTCAGTTTAATTCCCCCTTTAGCAGTGGATGTCACTACACGACGACCTGGATATTTCATATTAGTATTAGCTTGTGCTGCTAAATCTGCATTCAACTGAGATTTTCTTGCCTCAGCGTTTTGTTGCTCCGCCTGTTCTCTTCGTTTTTTTAATTCTTCCTGGCATGCAGCTTCCAAGTATGACTGCCATAAAGAAAAAACTTACAATCAGGGCTTATGAAACATTAAATATCTATAAATTATTGAAAAGAAGTCATGTGTGCCATTATGATTTTGACAAAAATTTGGGCACTATGTGTTCAAATGTGCAACTTTGGTTGCTTCATGTTGGTTGTATACACCCAATATTAGTACCGGTAGTTTGTTTATAATGCACATTAGTGAGGTCACATATAACAACTTGGCAAATTATTTTAGACCATCAACCAAAACTGGTACAAGTACGGCTAAATCATAATTGAAATATTATATATTTATGGTACATGTACTGTAAAATACTTTATTTTTCACTGAAGGAGTGATTCAGTGAAAATAAAAACCAGCAAATATAAAATTTTTCTATATTTTACACTCAACTCAAAAATCAGTAAAAATAAATTCCATACAAAACACCTAAAGACTTTTTCTAGGTAAATTAAAGTATTTTACAGTATGAGCATGGCTGAACATTGCAAAAGTGCTTTAGTCAGTAAAATACTAGAAATGAAAAATAAAAAAATTTCCTTCATGGCAGAAATAAGTTATTAGTAACATTGCTGTCGGAGAAACAGTACTACACGCAGTACTGTGGTGACATTTTTCGACTCAAACTTGTACATGTACCGGTAATGGTTTTGCGTCTTGCTCAGTCTCAGTCTATACACATATAGCGTGTAAAAAAACAGGACAGCATGCTTTTTGAAAATGATAACTTGCATCTTTTGCTATCTATGGTAATACGTGTCAAATCAGTGAACAAAATATTTTGTTTGTGTGTATATATTACGTATACTATTCTATTACTATCTAATTATCCATGGAAAACTAACTGATACACTTACATTAACATTATTCCACAAATTCTTCAAAGCAGATGGAATCACTGATTGAACACTTTTGCCAAATGCCCTTGGCTAAACAGCAACAATAATTATTTTACTATAATAATTAATCTCCCCTTATAGGAGTGACGAATCCAAAATTGTGAATTTAATATGTAATACTATAAATATCTGGTGATTATCCCATAGTAGCTATACATCAAGTGGTTATTCAACAAGCCATGCATGGCGCAGTCCCCGTTAGTTATCAAATTTAAGATATATAGTTTTGTTTATAGTAATATAGCTGGAATATAACAGGAATATGATTTTTTAACATTAAAATGATTGACATTTGTATCTGATCGTCAAAAAAGTACTTGTCCATATTGAGAGATATTGCTCTGGAACAGCATTCAAAAACAGCCATTTTGAATACATGTATATATATAACATGATGTATAACGAATATATAAAATTTGAATATAATCAGTCAAAGCATTAAAGAGATATGGCTCTAGAAGCCCAATCATTAAAACATAAATGCCAGAAATGCTTGATATTTGATGATTTTTTAGCACAAAAATGACCACCATTCGGCTATTTTGAATAGGATCATCAGACCAATATATCTGTTTATCTATGACATGATGTATAATGAATATTTAAAATTTGAATATAATCAGTGAAAACAAGTCTGAGATATGGGTCTAGAAGACCATTCATTAAAACAAAATGGCCGCCAGACAGTAATTTTGAATCCGATCTGAAAAATAAATGATGTGCATCACGAACCTGTATTTCTAATATAGGTACCAAGTTTGAACGAAATCAATCCATAAATGCTTGATATTTGATGATATTTTAGCACAAAAATGGCCACCATTTGGCCATTTTGAATAAGATCGTCAAACCAATATATCTGTCTATCTATGACATGATGTATAATGAATATTTAAAATTTGAACATAGTCAGTGAAAGCAAGTCAGAGATATGGCACGAGAACCACATTCATTAAACAAAATGGCTGCCAGTCAGCCATTTTAATCTTATCTGAAAACAAACTATTTGCATT